GGGTTTAGGGGATTGGGGGATTGGGGTTTAGGGTTCATTAGGGTTTAGGGATGTAGGGCTTTAGGGCTTTAGGGGTTTAGGGGATCAGGGGATTAGGGTTTATCTAGGGTTTAGAGATAGTGACGGAAGGAGCTGGACAAGTCGAAGTCAGCGGGCAACTCTTCAGCCAAGGCGGTCCGGGATTGCTGTGCGTCACACCAAGAGCACTTCAGGTGTGGGGTTTCGAGTTTGGTTCGTCCGGTAGTCATTCGATTCGAAGGGTAGCGTGATAGGCTCCAGGAACTCGGACGTTCATCATGACTGTGATGGATTTTAGGCCATCCTGCAGCTGGCATTCACGGAGCTCCTGGGTTTCGGCACTTCGCGAACAGGCCAGGCTTTGCCGAAGTCTGAGTGCTTCTTCCGCAGACCTCTCAGCGCTTGGCTCCTTTCAGGTTGGTCACCAGACCGCCCGATGCGAGACAAGGCGCTAGACTCGGCGAACCAGGCGGCCCCTCAATGGAAGGGCTGGGCTCTCTTGGTGGTTGATTATTGTTCTTACCATGATATTTCTATTGTTATTATCTTTATAATTCGTATTGTTATTATTGTTAATATTCCCATGTTAAACACAATTGAGTTTCAGCCCTAGGTGTGAAGACGTGCTCGCCGCAGGCGGTGGACCTCTTCAAGGAAGCAGGTGACACCAAGATGTCAGCGCACGCAGCCGAGCATTGCAGAACGGAGAAGATGAGAGATGTAGTGGAGGCTCTCATCCAGCTTTGCCTGACGAGGGATTGATGCGTACTTTGCAAGAGCTGCACGGCTGAGGGTGGCAAAGCTAGAGATCTCCTCATTGCTGTGTCAAGGCAGGGGCCACTCTATCCAGATCTTGTTTCCATGTGGGTAGTTGTCAACATTATGGTCCCGTCTGGGGTACCCTGAATAATAGGTGCCGTATTATAATAAGGACCCAACAAGGGACCATAAATTTTGACAACCACCCATGGTATGTTGCGCATTGCAAATGGGGAGTCCTCTTGCCGTGGCCAGGTGCCGCAGCGAAAACAGCTCTGCAGGCCGAGCTCCCTCCGGAAGCCCTCCGCCTGCGGCTGCTTCGAAGAGCATTGAAGCACAGGTAGCAGGTAGTGACGAGCCGCGTGTCATCCGACATCGTCAGATTGGCTTTCTTGTGCCAGGCTGCCCAGGAAGCCTTCGACATCTTCGAGCGGTCCGCACCTAAAGATCCGGCCTGCCGAAGTTGCCGCACAGCCCCCAAAAATTCACGCGCAGACAGCAGCCGGTTCCGTCCGTCTGATTTGCACAGCGACAATCGGGTACATCCTTACTTCGCATGGCATTCCACTGACCCATCACGCTAGACCACAAAACAGCAGAGTGAACGTGATGGCTCGGGGTCTCGCCCGCAAAGGCTCGGCGACAAGCAGGGGATGGGACGAGCGCCGGTTGCTCAGTGGCCCTTGCTTCGGATGACGCCTACTATTGCTGACTATTGCTAGTTGATATATGAAACCAACCCGTTAATTGAACCCTCAGCAAAGTCTCATAAACCTCCGAACCCGATATCCGTTGCTGGGATTATGACTGCTTCGTTACGTTGAAGCTTGCTGGGCAGAGCCTGTCATCTGAGGACCTGGCTGATGGCACGATCCAAGCTGGTCGCCAAGGCTGAAGCAACTTTTAAAAGGATGGATCCAGTGTTCAAGGTTTGCAGTTTCGGGTTGAGGGCATTGTGAGCAAAGTCGGTTCTGGGGGCACAGACAAAGTCTAGTCCAGAATTATCAGAAGCGCTGAACCCGCTGGTCTTGCCAGGATTTCGATGGAGCACTGAGCAAGGGACACGAGGCTGGGAGCTGCATTCATGGAGGAGGTGTGATTTGTGCAAGTTTCCGCGCATGGCGTGCTGCAGGCCCTGGACCTCATCCGAGCTAGTGGAGACAAGAGGCAGGGATGTGTTCTGGAAGTTTGTCATTTTTCCTTTTGCTCTGCTACTGCTGCTACTGCTACTACTGACCACCACTCCCACCACTACCAGCACTATACTACCACTACTACCACTACCGCCACTGTCCGCCACTACCATCACTGCATCTATATCTACACTTTGCAAGTTACAACTACAAGTGCGACGACCCCCACAATTCCTGAACGAATTAGCTCGGGATCAGGGCGGAGGCATTGTTCCTGGAGTGCCTCGTGCAGTGGAGCCTTACAGAGGCACGGGGCGCGCAAGATAAGGCATGTCATGTGGGGGTCGGGTTTCGGCTTGGGGTTTCGGGCTGTGCGAGAGCGAGACTCCACTTGTTATGCCCATGCAGTCTTTGCTGTTTAAGTCGGCGCGGCCGCTTCAATAGGTGTCACTGAACATTCGATCAGCCATTCTCGAGCCGCTGTAGCTCGTGAAATATGAACACTGAGTTCAGGCGTTGGAAGTGAAGGCAGCAAGGTTTAGGCTAGGATCGTTTTTAGCTTCGGGTTTGGGACTCAGTCTCAGAGTTGGGCTCCCCAGTTAGGCAAGGCCACAAAAGAGGGACGATCCAGCACCGGAGGCAGAGAAGAAGAGGGAACCTGCTTAGTTGGCTGACTTGGCAACACTTTCTGTTTGCACGGATTTCCCCCGCGTCAACTTTGTCATGGCCCGATTGAGCCGGCTGGGGCTGGGTCGGACGGGGAGTCTCCTTGAATGAACCGCCAAAATCCGAATCGTTATAATGCCGACACAGCTGCGTCTCTCGTGTTGCTTGTTAAAACAGTAGTGCCTGCTGCAAGGGAATGCTGGAGGAATCTTGTTGGGAATTGGCGTTCCTGGACGTGAATGCTCCATGGGGGTTATAGGCCTACGGCTTCAAGCAAAGCAGCCGAGATCCAGGGTTTGGAGTTTAGGGTTTAGGGTTTGGGGTTTAGGGGGTTTGGGGTTTAGGGGGTTTGGTATTTAGGGTTTAGGGTTTGGGGTGTGAGAAGAAAACTTCAGCACGAGCACAGAAAGTCCTGGTAGTGGGAAGTGCCTCCGGAAGCTGCCAGGCGACAAGCAATTTGCAAGCTCCAAGGGATACCCTCAAATGTCCTTTATGGTAGGGTTTAGGGTTTAGGGTTTAGGGTTTTAGGGTTGGGATACCTTCAAATGTCCTTTATGGTACCGTAGTTAGGGTTTAGGGTTTAGGGTTGGGATACCCTCAAATGTCCTTTATGGTACGGTTTAGGGTTTAGGGTTTAGGGTTTAGGGTTGGGATACCCTCAAATGTCCTTTATGGTACCGTAGTTCAGCAGAACTTCGAAGACGTATCGAAGCAAAAGCTCACGGTCTCCGATGTGTCAAAGCTTTGACTGCCCCCACAGCAAGAACCTGATATCGAAGCCTGATGAAACACCAATCTTATTCCTTCGGGCTCCTCGCGATTATATTTTTCTGTATTTTACCCCGAAACAGTATTCTACTTGTTTTAAGACCCCGGCATTAGAGCCCTCGGCCGCCGCCAGGGCAAGCCGCACAAGGCACTGGTCATGGCGAAGGAGGCGCGCCGCTCGCGAGCTAGGTCCGTTATACAACTTACGAGTACCGTGTTTTTTGGTTCGACAAGGGCAATGTGGAAGTTGTCCTGAAACCAAGGGTTAAGAGGAGTGCCAATATCCCAGCAGCAGCTAATTCTGCACCCCGACAGCATCACTGCGATGTTTTATGCCTTTGCTACATTCGCTCTTCTCCCCATTGCAAACTGGAGAGACATGTTACTACCACCGTCAGGACTGGCACTGAAGCATGGGCTGTGAAAGGCCTCTACTACCACAACTCCCCAGACCCCCCACACCAAAAACTCCTCAACCCCAACAGCCCTACACCATCAACCCTAAAAGCCCCAAAACCCCCTGCACCACACTCCAGACCCAAACGGCTCAACCTTGAACCTAAACCCTCAAGAGCAAACCTGCAAGCACCCTCTACCCCTAAACCGTTGGGTGTAAATCGAAGTAGTTCTTCGCTCGAAGCGGTGCCTGGGAGCTCAGGCTTTTGCCCTTCGGCTTGACTTGGAAGCACCTCCGAAGGAGGAGGCCCAGGGTTCTATCATTCTGCAGCGGTTCTGCAAGGATTCTTCGTTGAGGTTCTCTCATGATTGGGTCTTTCAGGGTTCGGTTTAGGGATTTGGTGTTTGTTTTTGTTTGGGGTTTTGGTTTGGGGCTAAGGGTTCTGGGGTTCTGGTTCGGATTCTGTGGTTTCGGGTTCCGGATGCGGATGCTTAAACCCTACAGATTATACAACCCTAAACCCTCAACCGCGCTTGACGCTTCGGGGTCGTCTTTGGTTTGTAAACTTATGTATTTTTTGTCTCATGGTTCCCGATTGGGCGGCTTGGGGTACATAGCTCTGGCGGACGAACGGACTGATGGACTGCCCGCTTGATTGACTGACCTTCACTTCGCTGTCCTCTGTTGGCGTACAGCCCATGGAAAGTTTGGCGAGTGTGACCTCTCGCAACCGAGTCGCATTGAGCAAGACGAGAGTCACCAAAGACTCATTGAGCAGAAGGATACAAACTTGCATAACGTATATTTGGGTGTGTACGTACATACCTAAACCAAGTCAAGACGTGATTGCATGTGCCTGTGTCGGTTTGTGCACATACACCCACAGACTTCCCAAGCAGGGGCCGTGTGCTTGCATGCATATACTGACCTGGAGCCAGGAGGACTTCACAGACACGCCAATAGTGCCTACTTGCTTGCAGTGAGAGCACACCTTCATTTATTTCTTTTGAGCTGAATGCTAAACCCCTCCAAACTATGAAACCCCAAAGACCAAACCCCTAAATGCCTAAACCCCTCACGCCGGTAGTCAGCGATCAGCTTCTTGGAGGCTCGATCTTGCCTTCTTCTCGTGGAAGCCCTGGCTGGCGCAAGCGACTGAGAGTCACTGGCCTCCGTGTTTGTACGGGATTTAGGGCTTTACGGCAACCTCCTTTGCAGCGGCTTCCCAAGCTCTTAAGTATTTTTCGGAAGCGTGCACACTAGGAAGACCGAAATTCCTAGCCTAGGCGCCTATGACCATGACTTGTAGTATTTCACCTGCGGCCATTTTGTGTGTGCTCGTGGATGAGGGATGTCAGCAGTACCCACCCACCCTTCTTCCCAGAACACTGGGGAGTGCATCGTCTGAGATAAGGTCAAGAAGGTGCGTCGTGGCCTCAAGGCGGCAGAGGAGTGCCACGATCGCTTGAAGAAGGCACTCCCTTCGTTTCTCAGGGCAATCCAAGCCCTCGAACATAACCCAGCAACCCAGGCTTCGTTTCGATGTTTCGTGACTGGTGTTTGCATGACGGAGCTTTCTTATTGCAAAGTCGCCTATCTTGACTGAAGCCGGCGTTTGAACATCACCTGCATTGTTCCTGCTTGGGAGGTGGGTGATCGAGCGCAAGTCTACGGGTGTGACAGCTCAGCTCCGGGAGATGTTGCGAGTTGTTCCACAGGTTCCGGCTTCCAGGGCATGTTTTTGTGCGTTGAGCAGAAAGTCCTCTCTACGGTTCGCAGGGCTACGCAAAGCAGCTCAAGGTTGCAGTGAGCTTCGCCCCAAGGCTTGTGGTTGTTGCGATGGCCCAGCTGAAGAGAGACCATCCCGAGCTGGCGCTCACAGCCATCGACGAGGCGATGCCTGATTGGGGCTTCTCCGCCATCTCTGGGGCTCACAAGCATGTGGTGCGCAGGCAATAGATATCGCCCGCGAGATCGGCGTGCTCCCGGCTTGATTCGCTCAATTGCACGGTGCTTCTCTGCGACACTCCCATTGGATCATCCTTGTGGCAGGAACGTCGCCTTGAGATGATGGCGCAGTGCACGCACGCGGAGGCAATGAGTCCACTGCTATGGCTATGCCGGCTTTGGCTTTGTCAAACCAGTGTCTCAGTCTCGCCTACCAAATTTCAACACCGGTGTACGTCATCAGCGATGTGGGCAGGTGAACGTCCAGCTGCAAAGCCGCCCGGATGCCCTAGAAGCAGCTGAGGAGGCCGCTGCCATCGCCGAGGACCGGCGACACCCACAGACCCTACGTAAAGCCCGAACTTCAAGTCCCGAACTAGAAACTCGAAGCGCGAGGCACTGGGGCCTAAACCCCAGACCTCAAACCCTGAACCCTGGAACCCAAACACCCCTAAACCCCCCCCGAAAAAAACCTCAAGTCCTTCAATCCCTGTGCCCCGAACCCCAAACCCCGCACCCCCCAGACCATGACCCATGAGCTGCCGCATGCTTTCGAGGAGCTCAAGGATGCCAAAGCAGAAGCAGATTGCGAGCAGAGACCCCGAAATGGAGGGAATGGGGCTCGCAGCTTCTTTTGGGTCTGTTTTTTTTTTTTCCGTGAGCTAGTTCGAAGGGCCCTTAAGGGTTTTACAGGGTCTGGGACTGGGGTTTAGGGTGTAATTCAACTTTAAGACGGAAGGACCAGCGATTGCAGGCCAATTTCTCCGTAGCAAGGGGGGTTCGCGGTTGAGGGTACAGTGTTTGTCGAGAGGGCTTGCTCGCAAGTCCTTAGAGTAGGCGATATTCAGCCGCTACTTTCCGGGCATGTCAAGCAAATCTTCTTGAACCAGTCTCCAATTTCGGGTCTACAAGAGCTCCCACAATGCAGTCGTGCATAAAGATGATGTGTTTGCATTGCAATGTCGCTTTCGAGCGGTTCCAAGTACAAGAGCCAGTTGCAACACAGAGGCAGCTTGCATAGCAGTGTTGCGATTTTGTGCACGTGCAAGTACTACTCTAAGCATGATTCATCGTTTTGTTCATCATGCTTCAGGCAGCTTGTGTGAACGCATCTCGAAGATAAGAAAAGAGAACTGTTTGCTTGACCGTTTCAGAGCAACGCAAGATGAGACGATATGAATCCTCATACCCACCATGTCTCCAAAACAACCTCCAGAAAATCTGCCAGCAAGGTGCATGCTGGTCTCCATCCTGCTCCGGGGCGTCCTGGACCGTGCTTCCCTGGTTAAGGCGTGCTATGAACCCTGCAGTGCACTCCTGAGCCGTCAAGCAGTTTGCCAAGTAAACCCTAAACCCTAAACCTAAATCCTAAACCTACTGCCCTGAACCCTAAACGCTACACCTAAACCCAAGAGCCCTCGCAAGCTTCATGACTCTTGGAGGCCCTCGCGGCGGCCAAAAAGGCGAAGGAGCTCTATAAAAAGGCTCGCTTCAGGCCCGGGCGGCCTCGCACGAAGTCTTAGGGCCTTGCCGGTTTAGGATAAACTATATTATACTACATTGTTTGTATTATATGATACTATCTTATTCTGTAATTTCAGGGCAGGGTTTTCTGGTTTCGGATTCAGTCTGTGGGGTTTGGGGTCGGAGTTCTCACCTACGGCTATGGCTCGCTTCTTTCTTTGGTTGTGTAGATAGTTAGCATCATGGGTGTGATTGGCAGTGCTATGGCAGTTGTTGCTGTTTGTGGTCCTGGTTCCAACAGCCTGTCTGGCTCAAGGACATGGGCAACACTTTGTAGTGATCATGACTACAACTATCATTAAGGGGATAATTTAGCATTGTTTTCATTATCATCTTTGTTGCTCGTGTTCTTGTTGTTCTGAGGGCCATTATCTGTGTTTTGAGTTTGCTTCTACCGCTACTACCACGAAGACACTTGCTAGTGCAAGCACCAACAATACGCCCCATTCTCACGAGGATGATTGTTATTGCTTGTGCAATCATGTGCCGGGCTATTTCAGCAATAGACCCCTGCAGTCTAAGCCCTCAACCTCATACCCCAGACTCCACAGATCCTAACAGCTAGACCCTCGATGCTTCACCTCAAACCCGACTCCAAGGCATACATGTACCTCGCTTGTCTTGTCGTTACGAGACTTGGGCAGGAAGATAGGACAGTTTGTTCAAACAAAGCCCAGGAACCCTGTAGCAGCCCAGGTTTTTCAATCATTCGTTATTATGACTAGTATGTTTGTTGCTGTGATGATGATCGTGGTGATGATGTTGATATATGTTGATGGTGATGATGATGATGATGATGATGACGACGCTTGTTATTGTTATTCTACACTTATTGCCAGTAGTGTCACGTGAATACCTTGACATTATGAGTTATGATGATTAGCAGCACAAGCAGACTGACAGTGGAGGCGGGGTGAGGCGAAAGCCTTGATCCACCGAGTGCGGATGCTCAGCTCCGGGTTGTTGCGTTAAACTTGGAGAGGTGAGACTTGTTGTTTGCATGTCGCTGGACGGTCGTGGGCGGTCATCTGCGATTCCGCTTGTGGGAGAGGGGGAGAAGGCGGCATTGGCAAGATAGGACGACTAGAAGGATCTCGGGCATTTGCAGTGCTACTGTGAAGGCAAGGCCTGGTCATGCAAGCAGCGGGAGATTGAACATGGTCCTTTCCGGACCTAAATCTCAGGCTCGAAACCCAAAGCCTCAATTCCGGCTCCCACATTGCGAGGCTTCCGTGTTGGGCATGGACACCGCCGTCTCAAGCGCAAACCTCATCATTATCACGGCTGCTGCAATTTCCGCGAGTGACGGGTCCTTGCCACGACCGTCAGCTTTGTTGTCGTCACCGTCACTGTAAGCATTTATCAGTGCTATCAGGGGGCTTCGGAAAAAAGGGGACCCTAATATAGCACCCTAAATAGTAGGATTCTTATTATAAGGACCCCTAAATAAGGTTCCCCCTATTTTCGGAAACTCCCATCAGCGTCACCATCACAGCCTCAAAATCCCACCGAAATCCGTACTTTTCCTCCGAGGTGCTGAGGAGATGCTGCAGGTGGCCTCGGAAGCCTATGACCTCTTCGAGGAGCCGCGAGTAGGGTGAACTTCGATGCGGTTTGGGGCTTACGGTTTAGGGTTCAGGGTTTTGGGGTTTGGGGTTTAGGGTTTACAGTTTAGGGTTTAGGGTTTAGGGGTTTTAGGGTTCAGGGTTTTGGCAGTTGAGTGGAGGGCCATGGGGAACAGAGATGCGCTGACCATACACGAAGCCCCGAAGCCGTAACGCACACCAGGTACCCTTGAAGTACCAGCCCCAAGCCGTCAACCTCCAAAGGAGGAAGAGGATCTCCTCGGCCGGTCTGCAGCGCTGCAGCTCGTCGCGGAGGTGCATCGTTGCCCATGACTGCTGAGTGGTTCAGGGGTTTGCTAGGTGTCATGTGCCGTTTAAGGGTCTAGCTCAGGTATTCGGGCATGTGCCAATCAAGGGAATGCTGCTCTTCCTGAGCCAAGAGCAGTGTCAGAACGGCGAGCCTTTTTGCTGACTGCCTTGATGCCTGACGCTGAACAGGCGCAGCTCGTCAAGGAGGGCTTCGATGAGGCCTCCCAGGCGGCTCAAGACCGGCGCGCTCTGTGGAAGGCCGCAGCAATGCTCCGTGTCTCACAGTCAGGAACCTTCAGGAACGCAGCGGTTCAGGGGCCGAGGGCGTAAAGCAATGACCTTGTCTCCAAGAGCCGGAAGGCTGTAACTGGTCTTGAACCGTCACATTGCATGGCAGACCACCAGCCCTTCCAAAAATCCATGGCCCCTAAACCCTAAACCCCAAACCCTAAACCCTAGAAAATCCATGGCGAGCAGCTTCCTACCCTGCGCTGAGCATCCCACGCCCTTTGCAGGGCCTGGGCTGCCGAAAGGCCGGGAAGTGGGCGAAAAATGTGCTTTTGCTAATATAATATAACATAATATAATATAGTATAGTATAATATAGTATAATATCGTATAATATAATATCATATAGTATAATATAATGTAGAATATTAGGGTTGCAGGTGCAGGATTACGAGATTTTAGGTGCTCCTAAGGGGTTGGCTTTAGCTGCTGTAGTGGATTGCCAGTGCACGACAGGAGGAGGGCGATGCAGTCCTCCAGCTGGCCTGACACTCAATATTACGACAACAGCGGCGGAAGTGCAAAGGCTACACGTACTTCTGGCTCCCACTTGCTGCAAGCCGGCACAGCTGCTGATACTGCTGCTTCGACCACTACTGCTGCCACTTCCCCACTGTCTCTACTGCTGCTGTATGCATGATGTGATTACGCCTTCTTATGCTTCTCGCGTCCCGCTTGCTTTCTGGTTGCTGCTGGTGCTGCTGATAAATGATGATGAGCTGCTGTTATTGCTGCGGCTCATCCTTCTCCGACCACTCCCTGCCGCCTCCTCCTCCTCCTCCTCCTCCTCCTCCTCTGACGACAGGACTCGCCTGGTACTGAGTGTACTGAAAGTACGGGGTGCAAGCAGCAGCCGCTCTGAGCAAGAGCTCAATCTTGAAAGGGATCCACCGCTCATGCAAGCCCATCGCCCATCGCGCATGCCTATCTCAGCGGAGGCATGCACAATTCGGGATTGCCACCATTCATGCCACCTGCCACAGTGAATGTCGTTTGATTGAGAGTAGTGTGTGCTTGCTTGAGAGACGAGGCGAGGATCCTGCTGGCTAGCTCCGCACGGAACCTAGAGATTTAGAGCCCTTTCTGGCCTGTGCGTTCTCGGCGATGAAGAGCAGCTGAAATTACGACTTACGATTGCATGAGCAAGCTAGCTGAGGAGTATGACGCAGCCGAGAGACATGGTATGGAGGCCTCCTGACTCGTGCTTTGCCGCGGCATGGGGATTGAGGTCAAGTCAAGTCTAAGGCTCTTCAGGGTTTTGGGTTGTGATGCGAAATTCGAACTCTGACCAGAAGCTCACCAGAAGCTCCCAGCTTCCAGAGCCTGTGCCTTTCGTAGAAGTCGTCGTGGCCGCAAGCAACAGTAGACGTCGAAGTTTCTCCGGCCAGGCCCAGAAGATCTTCCAGGAGGTCGGCGACAAGGCTGCTGAGCCTCTTGGCTTGCAGCCAACCAGGGAGCCTTCTCTGAAGCAAAGTCTTACAAGAAGACAAGATCTCCGTCTAAAAGACTTCAGCCATCAAGCCGGAAGAGAGGGATAGGGCATTGGCCTGGGCGCTAGGTGCGCCTTTCCCCCGTCCGTTCCTGTGTTCATGGAGATGCAGGGGTTTCCAGTGTAGCGGAATTCGATCCTGTTACATGCCGTAAGGCTCTGACTCGTAGGATGCTCTCTGGAAGGAAGCTAACACAAAACCATACACAATCCCGCCATAATAACTTTAGCATGCAGCCCCTAAATCAAGGTACCCCGACCTGCTATAGGGGTCGGAAGACTATCTACGACTATCCCTTATATTCCCCACTTTTCCTTAATGTAAAACTGTAAGTAGAGCACAGTGCCCCAAAGCCCTATCCTTGAGGTCCGTGGCCTGCGTGCACCTGGCACAGGCTGATAGGGCCAGTGCTTTTCTGAGGATTTGCCTCCTTCTCTTGCTGTTCTTATTTTTAAAGAGGAGGCTTGTGACTTCGATTTCGACACGACGCTCGAACCCTCTGTGCCTTTGCAGTCGCAGGAGTCAGTCGGGTTCTGTGCCACCCGGCTCCAGGGGCAACCGAGTTTTGGATCAGATGGACAGAACCGGATCCAAGCTCTGAGTAGAGCCGTTGAGTGGATGAGCTCCAAGGAGCTTTTTCGTGAACCTCTCCGGAGCTCTTTGTAGATCGCCCTTCCACGAACGCACCACTCGTCGGTCACAGGCGTGCTTGAAGAAGATGAGCGCCGAAGCCGAGGGTGAGACCAAAGAGGCACCACCCAAACGAGCTCGAAGCAGCGGCAGCTGAGGGATTCGCCATCAGGCCCTGGCCTCTCCGTCCTACCGGTCTTCTGCAGAGAAGGCCATCGCGTCTGAAGAGAGACTATCCGCAATTTTTCTACGGGTGAGTGCTGGATAGTGTGAGTCAGAGCTCAGCTACGTCAGGCTATGCGTGCTGCAAACGACGCCATCACCGCCTGCCTGATCCTGATGGATGTAAAGTGGAGCGCAAGACCGGAAAGTTGCTTGCAGTAGCACCAGACGCTTTTCGGAGTAGCAGCATCGCAGGTACGGACATGCCCCAAGCCCTAAGTAGCTGAAACTCACCCTCTGAGGCCGCCATTTAGGCAGCAAGCAACTGCGCCGCGACCTGAGGCGTGCAGGCGAGAAAGACTAACATTGATAATCAGAATAGGAAAAAGACTGGCGACGTCGTCGTAGTAGTAGTAGTAGTAGTAGTAGTAGTAGTAGTAGTAGTGGTAGTAGTGGTGGTAGCAGTAGTAGAAGAAGCTGTCGTGGTGGTTTCGTACAATACGAGTTGCCGCACTAGTAGTCATCGCTGTTGAGTATAACAACAGTAAGACTTGCAATCGCAGCAACAGTAGTGATAACGATTATGATAAGGATACTGGTTGTTGGATGTTTGTGGGCTACCATCACTCGTTATTGGGGTCTCTTTGTTTTTTTCTCAAAATGCCGATGCCTTTGAATAATGGGGTCGCGGATTTTTATCTGAAGCACCAAGATGAGCACCAAGGTGCCGGAGCGCTCTTCTGGCGAGCCCAGGCCGGGCTTTGCTGAGTTCGGTGGCTCCTAAGCTCCTCAGGTCTTAAGCCCGGCCCCAAACCCTCGAACACACACACACACACCTATATCTACATATACATATATATATATATATAACTATATATATATATATATAGGTGTATATCTGTACATCTCTCTGTCTATATATACATATATATATACATATATATATATATATACATATTTATATACATATATATTCATAGATAAATACATATATATATATACACACACATAAATGTACATATAGAAATGTTTAGATTTGCAGATACATCGTAGACAAATGCAGATACATTTTTGTATATAAGTATACACACATACTTATGCATTTATTCGTATCGTGCTCCATTCCAAACTGCTGAACCCCTGGTGCTGGACTCTTCTGCAGACGGAAGCAAGCCGATAAGGTCAACCGAAACCGTGAACGGCATGTGGTTGAATACCAAGACCTTTCAAACCCCCGAAGCCTGAAGCCTAAACACCCTAGACCCTGAACTGCATGTGCATACTGTGCACATCTGTCTATCTACCTATGTATGTATCTATCTTTTTTCTGTCTTCTATCTATCCTATCTATGTATCTGTCTTCGATGTATCTATCTGATCTATCTGCCTAGCTATCTTTCTATCTATCTGTGTATCTATCTGTTCATCTATCTATCTACCTATCCATCAGTATATATATATATATACACATCCAGGTTTCTGCACATCCACACATACATCCATACATTCATGCGAGTATATATATACATATATATATATATATGGATACATACACACACACATATATGTATATATATATATATATACTCGTACGTCTTCCCGCACACACACACACACACAGAACATTTAGGACAGTTTTTGCTAAGCCCCGGGCCCTTCCATCGCCTTGAGAGGTTTTGGGCTTCCGTGGCCGGCTCGAAGAATCCCTCCGGGCCCGGAGCTGATGTTGTGCAGTTTCAGCGGGTGGGGGGGGTGGGGGTTTCGGGGGGTTTTGGGTGGTTTTGGGCTTTTAAGGGTTGAGAGTAGTTCAACAGGGTTTCAGGTGCTTCGACGGCTTTCGGAAGTCGGGTCGTTGTCGTGCCGTTCATGGTATGAGGGGCTGTTATACTTAGGTGAGGTCATTTATGGTATGTTGTAGGGTATCTTATTCTGAAGCGCTTCTTTCAAAAAAAGCCCTGACTTACTGCAACTGTCTTGCAAGGAACAAGGCAAGAACACCACTGCCACATTGCGAGCTCAGGTGATGTTGCAGGTTGAGGTTATTGCTTTAGATTCCGGAGGGACCAGATTTGCGAGAAATTCAGGGTTGGCCGTCAGTTTTCGGGTTAGAGTTATGATCCTTAGGGATGTCTCTCGGCCCTCGGCCTCAGATGTTTGAAAGAAGTTGTCGTACCGCTAACAACCATAATGATATTGTCTGGTATGCTTTATAGCTTTGCTCGGATGATATTATCGGATGATATTATCTACATCGTCAGACTAGAGATAAACGCTGAAGCCAAGTGTGGAAGACCCCATTACCGACGTTGAGTGAGTGTGGGGTGTCTACCACGAAGTGCGACTTGCTCTGGCTTGGGCTGTCGGGCTGAGGCGTCTAGGAAGTCGGGTTTTGGGGTCAACGAGTTTCGATTTGGGTTCTTGTTCTAGGATTTCAATAGATTTTGCGGCACGTTCGCGGCTTGCACGACAATAAAGACCCTCTGGGCCTCTGCGTAGCATGTCATGCCGACTCTTGTCTTGTTGAAGAGTGGGATAAGAATCAGAATACCATTGATCATCACCATCATAGCTACAATATTCTCGATATTGCAATAGCAATGGTGGGTCTGCTTTCTTTCAGATCGATTCTGCAATCGTTCCGGAAGTGGCTCCAGGTGGTTCTCGACGCAGAGAAGTGCTTCGAAAGTGCTGGGGCGGGCAGCAGAAGCCCTAGCTCAGCCGGAGTGTGGTAGGCCTCACCACGACTACAACTCCAGTCAGATTCAGAATGAATGCCACGCATGGGAGGACAATTTTCGATGTGGATATGTAGATGCCGCGAGCAACAGCGTGAAGAGAACATCAGCCAACCGCTATCCCACTCAACTTCATATAATCTGCATACATGCATATATGCACATTGGCAGTAACGTAGCTTGTCACTCGCTTGTACATACATGTATGCATACATACATGCCACCATCCCTTCAAGACCTAAGTAGGTCGTTCCGTATGCGCATGCAGACAGTCATGCACACAGAGGTGCGTCGCACCTACATATATATATATATATACAGACTCCATAGGCTGATGAGATTTCATGAGCATCTTTGTCAAGGGCGCGCGCAATCCCAGGTGCCATGGTCCAGTGCAAGATCCTGGCTGCAGATTGCCTGGCAGGCCCAAACTGCAGTTGAAGATGGGAACTTCGAGCCAAGTACGCAAATTGTAAGAGGACGAAGAGGTACAGTACGAAGAGCATTGTTACGTGCTTCTGTGATCGGGGGCTGGGGGGTGATCGCACTTGCGTGCTTTAACTGCGCAGGTTTCCGAAATGCTGTGCGAGTTTGTTGGCAACGAAGTTCCAAACCCCCAAGTCTGAGCATTTTTGGGCTTCCGCGGTGCTGCATGACTGCTCGGGAGGCCTGAAGCACTTCGAGGAGGCTCGGTCTGACGATCCCGAGCTGGCAAACTACAACCAAGAATATATATATATATATATTTATATTTATACACATACATATACATGTGTATGTTTGATTGTATCTGGGAAATCATAGCTTCGCAGACAAGGCAAGAGAGCCCAACGCGATGGCTGGGCCCGAGTTCTGCCACTCCTGTACCGTTCGAGTGCCGTGAGGCCAAAGAAGTTGCAGATCAAGCCATGAAGCAAGCGAACGCCTTGCACGACCGCCAGGCAAGAGCGAGAGCTTGGAGTGTAGGAAGCTCTCCGGCCTTCCATGGTTCCGCCGACAGTGCATTCAAAACATGTACCTACATGCAGTTGTGCAGTTGTGCAAACGCCATTGAGATCAGCTGTCTCTGCCAGGCGGAATCGCAGTCGAAGTCGTGCCTCGAGAGAATCGAGAAGGCCGAGAAGAAGAGCTCGGCGCTGAAAGCATTCAACACGAGATGTGTACTGCGAGGTAGCCCCAAATGCCGCCTGGCCACGTAGATTTCGACATTTGTCCAACCATTTGCCATGCGGGGCGACATCTTGATAGGCCTCACCTCCATAGCCGGACTTCCCCATCTCGCCTGGACTCTTCGGTTCAACCGGGCGAGTTGATGTCCTCTTTGTTCCAAGGCAAGGAGGTGGTCGCGCCACCGGTCCAGCAGATGATTGCCGCAGAGTGCGGTGCTTAGCCCGCGAAGGCGTGAGGCGGGGCGGTATACGGAGACTCTCCAATACGGGAATCTCATTCTGTTAACTCGGCAAAGAAGGGCTTGTGCCTTGCACCCCGCCACCAATGGCAACCCCCAGCGAGGCAGCAGGAAGAGTTGCAGAGAAGTGTGTCATGAATCGGCCTCTGCTGTTGGGATCCAGTTGCTGGCCATGCCCAGCAAGTTAAAGAGCAGCTTCCAGTATCGCCTGCATGTCATTTCAAGTGCGGAGATTGAGAACCCCTTGCAGCCCGACCCCAAAAGTCTGCACATGAAGAGGGAAAGAGCCGATCAAAGCAGAAAAGACATGAACTCTGGGACCCTAGACATGAGGCCTTATCTGCCCTTGCTTAAACTTCATCTAGGCCCCGAGCCCAGCATTCATTCTTGTCGCAAACGTTCAGCCCTAGGCCTCCCCTTGGCCCCGGAATTTGGTGACCTGAAGATAAGAATAGGATTTTCGGGGTGTACTATCCTACAGTGTAAGGGAATAATCGTCCTGATCATTCACGCCAGTGCATTGACCTGAAGTTCACGCCCTGAACCCTGGACCCAAAAACCCCAAACCCCAAACACTAAACCGCTAAACTCTTTACCCAAAACCCCTAACCCCTAAACCCTAAACCCTACAACCCTAAACCCCCAAAAGCCCTAGACCCCCAAAGCCCCAAAACCCCAAAACCCCAAAGCTTCTCGCGTGCGGACTGAGGCCGGGCCAGGCAGCACCTGCTGCAGGCGAGTGCCACGTAGACTTTTGCCCAAGACCGTTTGGGGGGAGGGTTCAGGGTTTAGGGTTTAGGGTTCAGGGTTCTATGGGTTCAGGGTTTAGGGTTCAGGGTTCTATGGGTTTAGGGTTTAGGGTTCTATGGGTCTAGTGCAGAGTCTCGGGGTTGAGGGATCAAGGGCAAAGAATTTTAGGCTTGAGGGTTTAGCGAGGGCTTCAAGTGTAGGGGTTCGTTTTGTTGTATGGAAAGAAGAGCTTACAAGTTGGCTTCATCCAAGCGGCTTCAAGGCTTTTAATAAGGATCGCGTACGAAGGTTCCCTAGTTTGACATTAAAAGAATACTCTCAATTTCAAGTTTCTAGGGTCTTCGAGTCTCCGGACGTTTAGGGCTGGCTTAAAACAATACTTTCACCCCAGCGTTTGGCTGGCGTCGTAGCGAAATGAAGCCTCATCAAACCGATGCATCCTTAAAACAGTGATGAAGCGCTACCTATTACAGTGATAACGACCGCAAAGTTCGCTGTTCCCACAACAGGCACCGAGTAGTATACAGTATATATATATATATGTATACAAATATATATATATATATATGTATATATATATGTGTACAGATATATACACATCATTATTATGCACATATATATAGATGTGTAGCTGTACTACTGGTTAGAAATGCAGAGAGGCAAGTTTCCTTAGTCTCTCTGCCAGGTGCAGCCCCTGCGGCTTCGGCTGTGGCGCCAGAGCAGCCGAAGGGTGCGCAGCACCGCAGTGCCATAATCAGACGGTGGTTGAAGGTGTCTGAAGACATAGGTGTTGGTTCAGGAATCAAGGCCAGGGTGTGGAGTGTACACTGTACCAATATCTAAGTACAAAGGGAGCCCACATGTCTATATTATGCATAGGCAGGGACGACATGTATGCCTGCATGCATACGTACATGCCTACCTTTGTCATTGTATACGTACTTGTCTTGTAAATGGGCATGTGCGAATGCACGCGCATGCACCTTTCCATCGGTCGCACCGCAGGTCCGAGTTCTTTCTCTTCCATAAGTTTTGCATGCCATGTGTTTCAGTCTTCTTGTGGAGACCTGCCCTATATTATCAAAAATATTAAAGTATGTCTTGCACCGGTGGTGGTGGTGTTGGTGGTGCTGGCACTGCTGCTGCCGTCCTTGCTACAGCTGCCGCTGCTGTGTTTGCCAGACAGCGGCAAAAAAGCGATTATGCCGGTAAAGCATCTGCTTCTACTTCCACTTACCAGTACGTACTACCGCTGTTGCTTCTAATCTTACTGCTACTGCTACCGGCGTTACAACTACCAGACTACCACTACTACAACTACTGCTACTACTAAGTAACTACTACAATTACCACTGCTACTACTACTACTACTACTACTACTACAACTACCACTGCTACTACTACTACTACTACTACTACTACTACTAATACTACTACTACTACTACTACGACTACTTTTACTAATACTACTACTACTACTTTTACTACTACTACTACTACTACTACTACTACTACTACTACTACTACTACTAGGGCGAGACGAAGCTGCCGTCACGAGTAGATTCAGAGCGAGCCTGGCCCTGCGAAGGCTTGGACCCTGCGCTGGCAACGAAGCGGCTGATGAGCATCGCACGGGACTCGCGGCGGATGCCACATGAAATCCGTCCGGTATGTTGGTGTCAGCGCGATGTCCGAGGTCAAGGATGTGATTGCCGCAGACGACGAAATTACCGTCTGCCCCTCAAGATTCCTGCAGGTTTAGTCGCTGCTGCTCATGGTGAAGCCTTTGCAGAGTTAAGCGTGTCGCGCTTTCTGGACTACGCAGATGCGCAGGCCGACAGTCCGCTTATGGAAGCTGGTATGGACAGCCCGGACCCCAGACCCGAAGCATTCGCGGCAGCTTGGCCGTTCCACACCTTCGACACGTAGTGTTGTTCAGGTCTGTCGTCCGTCCAGCTCGTCACGGAGGCAGCATCCTTATGTGAACGTGCTTATACCGACCAAGAGCGCAACACGACTCTTGCTTCTTCCACAAACGCTGCAGGTTGCCCTTACTGAGCCGCTACTGTACCAGCAGTCGTTAAAGCGTGCCCGTTGACCAGCAGGAGAAGGAATTATGAGTAGCCCACTAACAGCAGCGGTCATCATCGTCATCAGCAGCATCATCATCATATCATCACCATCACCTTCACTATCACAGCCAGCATCAAGATTGTAATCATCATCTCTTTTGCTCGCCCCCTCCTTAGCACTTTTTGCACCTTCATCTAGATTATCCGTCTGCATCTTCATCTTCATCATCACAATCGTCGACGCCGTCATCGACGCACTCGCCGTCATCGTCTCATCGTCATTGGTATTCTGCTTCACCATCTTCATCACCACCATCATCAACAAAATACCAACATCATCGCCATCAGCATCATTGTCATCATCATCATCATCATCATTATCATCACCATAATCTTAGTCATAACCACAATCATCATCATCACCATCATCATCATCATCAGCAGCATCACCATCACCACCATCATCATCATCGTCATCGTCATCGTCATCGTCATCGTCGTCGTCGTCGTCGTCGTCGTCGTCGTCGTCGTCATCATTTGCATCTTCATCTTCATCTTTATCTTCATCTTTATCTTCATCTTTATCTTCATCTTCATCCTCATCCTCATCAACATCCACATCCTCCTGCCCGCCGCCATCATCCTGATTACCACCATCATCACCAGTATCACCTCTGAAATCTTTGCTCTGAGCACCGTCAGAATCAGACTCAAATGCGTGGTGGCGATCAAGATCGTGCACGTTTCCATAGACGGCAGAACAACAGCGACGACAGCAGCCGCTGCAGGTGCCGGTGAATGCGCAACAGCTATATTCAAGACGGCAACAGGCATCCGCAGCACCAGAAACAGAATAATTCAGAATAAGCATGACAACAAGAACAGCAGCGCTGACAAGGTGTCCAAGGAGTTCCAGATGACCCTGTCGCCATCGTTGGTCTTCGACTTCCCGAATGTGGCGGCATTTGGGCTGCTATTGGCTTCAGACGGGATTGCCCGGGTTATTCAGTTCGTCTTTTGATTGCAAGCTTTGGCCCTAGATGTCCGCATAAGTTCAGGAGCAGCTCTTGAGCTTCGTTTGCCAAGGCTATCGTCAACCACCTCGTGGAAGAGAGTCAGGGATGAGACGCAGGAAGGGAGGTCCCGCCGTGTTGTGCCACGATATGGCAGGAAGCAGTGCAGCAAGGCTGCCGCGCCAACATGGCAGTGGATGCCACCAAGTGCCATCAAGCGTCGCAAACCGTCTTATGCTGGTTTCTCATCTTGGTTCTGGATGTCAGCCGGTCCTTGTACGGTTGGTCGGTTTGCATTCTTGGAGCTAGAGCAAAATCGCGTAGCAATTGTTTTCGAACGATCAGCGTGCTTCAAGCCAGGTGTACACTCTGTGTGCTGATATAATGTGTGTAGCAGTAGCATCCTCAGCATAAGCCTCAGTTTCATCTTGCAACTGGAGAGTGGCGAAGCTGCGCTGGCCTCTTGCCTGTGCAGTCGAAGCTTACCCTGCATGACACATCTTCCGGTTGAGCGACTGGGTAGTACTGAGCGGTGTTCAGAAGAGCACGAGTCTAGAGCGCGGCTCCACATCGGAAAAGGAGCTTGCCATGATAGCAAGGCAGTCCCCTATAGTTGTTGCTGTGTAGGTTAAGTTTCCACACCACTGCCGATTTCAGGAATCATGCTACGTGTATTTGCAGGCAACCTGAGTTAAGTTTTCTGTAACAAGTAGGGAGAACCCAGACATTGAGCAGGGCCGGCGTGCCTTTTTCCGGCTCAGGCGTATACAGGTGCAAAGCACACCGGCCTGTCAGCAATCAGAACAAGAATTCTGGACCCAGTGCTCACTCAGACGACCCATGCTTGCAGACTCCCCCAGAATGAGAGAGTGGTCCATGGATTGCCAGCTGGTTGGACACCTTTGCTGCCACCCAGACACATCGTTGGGAGTAACTTATCTTGTGGATCCGGCTATGGAGGGTTTACGTATCTCATCCTGTTCACCTCTTAGCATGCGCCTGCTTTGCCATGAGAGCCAAAGCACGGCTGATGTGGGAACGTGCAACCTCACGTCGCTAAAGTCGCTAAAGGTCTGTGGCTCAGGACTTCTTGGGTTCATTTTGAGGCTTGGGATCCCGGAATTACGGATGTTCGAGGTGACTTATGGGCCTGGGTTGCGGGTTTCAGGGTGTGTGGAGTTTGTTTGAGTGTTTATCTAGAGTTTGGGGCAGATATGTCGGAGGCTGTTGGACGCAGCGTGGATCAAGCACAATTTGATATGGCGGGTTCCGGAGGGGTTTCTGTTGTCGACATGTGATCCCTTGTAGTCTGAAACGCCCATGTTCAGTTTGGGATGTTGTGGAATCCTAGGTGCACTTTGTAGCTCTTTCTGGCAGGACTGTGATAATCACATCATGTCAAAGAGGGTGACGGCGATCGGAACCTGATGACTCTGGTTATTCTTACTATTCCTCTTCTCGTCATGGTCATCCTCAGCCTGTGTTCCACTCGCATTTTGAGAGCGACCCAGGCCTGGCGGTCTCAGCCTCTGGGCCTCTTCGAGTCTGAAGTCCGCTACTCAGGCGCTGCCTTGTGCCACGTCGGTTTAGGGTTTAGGGTTTGGGGTTTAGGGTTTAGGGTTTAGGGTTTAGGTGGAAGGCTTGATAGGGCCTGGGACCACGAAGTTGGCAACATTCCTACACAAGCTCTGGATAGATGTGGTGCAAATTATCCGCCAACGAGACTCTAAGTGTGTCGGCCCTCCCAGAAAGGGTTGTTGGAGGATCCCTCCCTCCGCCGTACCGGGGTCGAAGCTCGTTGGTGCATGGGCTTGTTTTGGCACAGCATGGTCTCTTTCAGGCCCTTATTCTAACAGACTCTACAGGGCGTTGCCAGACCCCCGAACTGTAAAACTGTTTGTTCCTCTCCCTATTCCCTGGTTGCTTATCCTTCTGACTTGAAGGCCCGCCCCACTGCGCCCAAACAAGCCCCGGAAAACCAGAGAAGGTGCTCTCCAAGAACAAGCCCAAACCTCGCCAGCAAAGGTCCCTGGGGTTCGGCAGAGGCTTCCCTCCGCACGGTTCCTCTGTGGCCCAGAGGACTTCAAGCAGCTTGGGAGTTTGGGACGGGAGGAGCTGAAGAGGAATCGGAGGCTCATCAGTGACCAGCTTTAAGGCTGGTGGTCAGGGGTGCAGAAGACCTGACACAATAGGGTCTGTGGTAGCGGTAGCACCTGCTCCGGCTGCAATCAGTGACGGAAGCCGACTTGGCAGGACAGAGGCCGCTGTTGCAAAGCCACGTCCTTCATCTCCTCCAGCGGGGCTCTCCGTCTGGCCTTTGCCTGAGCTTGCTGCTACGGTCAACGGAAGCCGACTCTGCATGGATCACGATGAACATTAAAAAAGTATATGAATATATAATATGTATGTATGTATGTATGTATATATATATATATGATATAGATAGATGTGTACACACACATATATATATATATATACACATGCATATATATATATATATATATGCTACCCCCCCTCTGTTATCCACCGTTCCGTGGCTTTCCAGGGCGAGGATTTCAGAGGATGTTGCATTGGAGATCAGCAGACATGGAGCCGGCGAAATGGGAGGATGCGAGTTTTGAACCAGCAGCATGCCGCTTCGTGGTCTAGGCCCCCTTTCGGTGGTCTAGGCCCCCTTTCGCCTTGTCGCGATCCTATCCATGTACCAGGTGAGAAAGTTGCCAGTGCTGGCTCGCATGTCCCTACCCGCTGCCAAAACTCATGCGGCGTGTCCGCTTCGAGGTCTAGGCCCCCGTGTGCCTTGACGTGATGTTGTCCATGTACCATGTGAGAAGGGTGCCAGTGCTGGCCCACATGTCAACCCCGCTGCCAATACTCATATTGGGCAGCTCTGATCTTCGCCGTCAGCTGGTGGGATCCGGTCTTGGTGTTTTGATTGATCTTTACCCGCTCTTTCAGGAAGCGCCAGGCCCGGTCAATCACCTGTGTGCCAGCCTTGACGGTGATCTTGCGCCCATTGGGGAGCTTGTGTTTTGCCAGGCGGACGAAGGTGGGGGGCTTCCAAACCTTCTTTCCTCCACGGAGCACCTTCTTCTTCTGGTGAACAACAGCATCATGGAGTACCCCACGGATCTTAGTCCGATAGCTCCGAGCACTGTCGGTGTGCAAGATGATCGCGCGATCTTTGAGCCACTTGTTGGCGATCTTGACCCAATCCTCCTTGCGCACGGCTCCTGGGCCTGGGGCTCTCTTGTGTGTGGTCAAGGAGCGCAGTCGGAACAAGACGAGAGAGGAAGGCCTCCCGCGGGGCACCATGCCCAGCCACTGCTCCCACTTCATGGTTTTGTTGGGGTTGGGAGCATCCTCTGCCGCGATCAAGCACTTGTCGAAGATGGCCTCATCGGCTTCTATCTCCGTCCACTTCGTGCCCTTGCCGTTCCCGAGCACCATGCGGGCTTGCTCTGCATCTACGAAACACTTCCTTGTAGTGGCTAGCTTCTTCTCCATGTTCTCGAGCGCCTTGTGGTTGATGCCCAAGACGATGTGGATGGAGCTGAGCGTCATGCCTGCAAGTCGAAGAAGAAGGGCACTGGCTTGTATGGCTAGTGGGTGTCCTTCCGACCCCATATTTGATGTGAAGATGGGATGCAGATGTTGGGGAAGGATGAACTTGTGGCAGGCTTTGCGTCTGCAGCGGTACCGTGGAGTCAATGGTCCCCTGGACTGAAGGCCTGAGACAGCCCCCAAGTTGCAGAAAGGACACTTCATGCGAGTCCAGTCCGGCAGCAGGCCATCTTCGGTGAGGATCTTGACCGTCGCATCCTCGTCAACACCGATGAAGTCTTTCAAGTTCCTCTTCCATTTCAGGCGGTCAACACGGATCTTCACGGGGTTCTTGACGTACGGTGTCTCTCGCCATTTCTTCATGTGGGCCTTGCTGCTTGTCGGCGTTTTCGTCAAGTTGTCCTTCAAAAGAAAGCGGGTTTTGCCCTTCTTCGCGAACGGAAAGAGACAAGATGGTTTCTTCTTGATGATCTGCTTTCCCATGGCCACGTAAGGCACCTAAGCCGGGCTATACACAAGAAGAGTAGGCGAGCCCTGAGCAAAATGCTGATCACAGTTGGATGCGAGTAGCAGGACTAGAGGCCAGACGCCTGCTATCAGTCCAGAAGCCATAGCA